CATGGCACATGGAATTAGAACAGTTTATTCCAGTGAGCGAAATAAAGGGTTCAGTTCGACATTCCAACTACCTAAAGAAGGCCTGAGGTACAACGTCTGAAAATTTTAATAAATATGGTGACAAAAGAAATGACAATAGATGACAAAGTAAATAATGTAAATAGTGCCTATATTGTAATTTCTATAATTTGTATATTTAAAAAAATGTTTTTGTGAACTTGTTTGTTTCTTTTGAAAATTTCACTTTGTGTAAAAGTCTTATTTTTTCAGAAGTGTCTCTTTATAAAGAGAAGGAAAAAGAAATTTGAAACCCTCTTCTATTTCTTTTATTTTTAGTAGGAAATATTCAATATATATAAATGCAAATATGCCCCAACTCCTACCAAACTTTTAAATAAAAAAACTAAATAAAACAAGACAAGTATGCCAATTTATAATCTTTTAAAAGAAACAACCAATTTTTAGTATTAAATTACCTCATAAGAGTTAAAAAGACATTAAACTTAGAAGCCAATCCAATCTAATCCAATCAACAATTGGTGTTCAATTTCTGGTAACCTTACAACTTTAAAAACTAGTTCAATTAATCCATTCTTACCATTCATGCCATTCAATTTTTTGCTAGACTAAGCTAAGCTTAGTAACTATTTATTTAGAAAACTTCACAAAAAAAGAATACCAGGAAAATTTTTTTTTTCACTATTTTAAATATAAAATTTTAAAAAAAATGAACAAGTCTCTGAATAAACTTCCTGTTACTTTTATATACTAAATATATATTATCATACTTTTACATGCAGCTTAAGGACATTAAACAGTAAGGAGAAACTAGTGAAATTTATAGGTTGTCAGGTAGATGTTATTATTTGCAATATGATTTTCAATAACCTTATTTTTGTAAATCCATGAAAGGAATCAAACAATTTTTAAAGATATAATCCTTTAAGCAAAGTTATAAAAATGTCATAATGAAAAACAGGAAACATATTCATGTCCCATGGTGGATATTTTTTTTTGATGACATTTAAAAGAATTGTTTGTAATTTGGAGAATCCATTAATGAACTCCCCTTACCTCCTAATGATCATTTCATTTTAGTTTTCTTTTTACTATTATTGTCTATAGTAAATTGCAAATTTTAATGGAAAATCTTAAGCACAGGCTTTTTTTCTGGTCCAAGTCAAAAAGACCTGAGTCAAGTTCAAGAAGTTTTGGTTTTCATGGTTTTCCCTCTGAAATTAGTAGAAAACTGAATTTATTTAGGAATTAAATAAAATGCTCTTGGGACCTGTACCATTTTGCAAAATCTTTTTTTCTAGCTAAATATAAAAAAATAAAACATACATAAAATTTAGTGAATATTTTTTTAGTAATATAGTGTGACTTTTAATTGATAATGAACACTTCTGAATCAGACATAGGTAAAAATGTTAGAAGGCTGGAAAGTTAAAAGTAAAATTCATATTTTTTTTTGTTGAGACTTTTTTTGGTTTGAGGGAAAATCCTATGTATTTTTAACTATTTTTCTTCATTATGACTATTTATTTTTGGGAGTGATGTAAAAATTTAAATAGGTAATAAAAAATAGTTAAATTTAAAAAGAATAGGATATGAGGTAAACCTTCCATGTTTAGAGTCAAATTTTTCCTGCATGTATTTTCTAACATATTTATGTGCTATCATGCAAGAATAACAAATATTTTGATTGGTCAGTAAAGCATGTTTTTTACAATAAAGATTAGTATAGTGACAATATCTCTCAGAATTTATTTGATTCAGCACTTCATGACAACACCCTATATATTTCATCAAATAAAGAAAGTTTAATCCTGGGTTTTTTAAATGCTTTTCCTTTTGGCTATAAATAACTATTGTCTGTTTGCACTGAAACTTTTCATAAAGGACAATCCTTTCCAAAAAATTGTACAGTAGTGTGTCTTGTCTTTAATGATGAACTGATTTTGATTTTCTGATTATGTTGAGAACTGGTTAGAACGTATTAAAAACCATTGATTAAAATGTTGCCACTTTACTTGCTTCCTAAAGGTGGGTTATGTTTTTGTATGAGTTGGATTGAAATTTTGCACCTTATTTTATGCTTTCAGCTTAGAAATTTTTCCAGAATGAAGGGAACCTTTGAGGGTAAGATTCTTTAATGAAACTGAATAAACCATTGCTGGCATTTCCTGATGCTTAAGATTTTGTTTCTATAAGCAGTGTATATGTTTTTTGTGCCTTCTTAAACTGATCAACCAATTTAGAGCTTATAAAGTAATGCAGTATCTCAAATGGGCCACATCTACACTCATTTTTATGCATCACATCAATTAAGAAATTATTCAATTTGACATTAAATATTAAGGAAAGTGGAAAGATCAAAACATAAAATTATATGTTTTATATTATCAAACAATATTTAAAGCTACCTTCAACACAAAAAAGAATGTTGCCATAATTATTGTAAGGGACAGTAATCCAACAATATTAACATGTATGATTCCACATGGGCATAAATGACATCAGTATTACAGTCTAAGAGAAGTTAAAAGTTGTATCCTTTATAAATTTGATTAGTTTTTTTTTTTTTAATTTATTTTAATTTCAAGAGTTTTTATAACTATTATTACATTAAGAATTTCTATTTATTTGCACCCCCATAAAAGCAATTTTACTAAATTAGTTGCAAATTTAATCCTTATTGAATGACCAATTATTGTAGTCCAGTATATGACTAAACTAATATATATTAGTAACTATATATATATATCTATTTAAAAAAAAACAAAACCTATCTTCTAAAATTTATATTGTTGGAACACAGTGAGATTAAAATTTTTTGACTGTAATTTCTGCCAAATATAAAGCAGTTTGACATGTATGAAGTGATGTCAGCTGGATATGGCAATATTTTTAGAGATTTAGAAAGTACTGCAAACTCTGGGCCCTAATGTGGTTTGTAAATTTTTTTCTGATGTTTTTCTCACACAGATTTATATACATTCCAGTTTTTATAAATGGAAGTAATCAAAAGCTTGCCCATCCTTCCAATAAATAGAAATGCATTCTTTTCATACCCAAACAGGGCTGGTGTATGCTACACCCAAAACCCCCGAATGGATCAAGCCTGATTGGGAGCCTGGGCAGTGCTTTATGACCCTTGCTATTTTATCAACATTTGCTTTTTTCCAACCTATATTTATATAAATTACAAATTAAGCTAAGCAAAACTGACTATTAAAAGATGAAAAAGTTTTGTGGATTTTTGATGTCATTTTGTGGTCATTTATTTTTTCATGTATACACATCTGCATTCACACAGAGATGTAGATATTCAATTTCTTTCCAGATATGAATTTTCATCAGAGTTGGCTTACAATTTGTCACTTTTTTTTAGTGTCAGATTAATATTAAAAGTATATGTAATTTTTTGTTTGCCAACTCTTTATTAATCTTCCAAAACAAACTTTCTTTTCTCATCCCATCTTTTCTTTTTATTTTTGTATCTTCCAGATGATTTTTGTTTTGTTAATATACTGTTCATTATATCTAAATTCTTAAAGCAAATTTTAAAAAAAGGAACTCCATACATTTTTCACATATACAAAGAATGTCTACCTGTTTTTTCCTGTCATTTTCTTTTGTTAGTCTATTATGCAAGACATTTATGCAGTAATGAAATGACAGGTGATCTATGTCAACTTATAGTAATGGGAGTGAGTGCATGCTAGTGGAACTAAAACTATTCTGAACTCACAACTAACTGCCAAAAAAAATGACAGCAAACAAATCATAAATAACCAAAGCTACAATTGGTTTTACTATCAAGTACTATATTTTCAACATTTTTCAATTTTGATTTTGTGTCTCATCTCTTATAATTTCCTCTTTTTGTTGCTGCCATTGACATTATCTGAAACTTTCCACAGAATTAACAACTTAATAAGAAAAGGTGTGGCAGCATTGAAATAAGATGTCTTTGGAATGCAAAGCTTCAAATGTTTCAGGTGGAAATAGCTATGGAAGGAAAAGGAAGCTTTCAGGTCAATCTTGAAGTTAACATGTCTATTCAAATTCAAATTACCATGTGACAGTTATTCAGTAAATTAATATAGCAAAAACCTCAATCTGAAAGCATGACCCTCTTGGGTGAATAGGATTTTAAGTGTTATAGCTCATTTTATTTGAGTTTGGTATATATGTATGCTTTTACACTTTCCTAAAAATGATTATTAAAGTTATGAAAGAAGGTTGTAGTTGAAATACTTCTGGTTGTTTTATTTAAAAGAACAACATTTTATCATTCAGATGTTGAACTTTTATCTGCCAATTTTAATAATTTCTATAATCGTAACAATATGAAATTTGTAATAATTACAGTTTTTTTCCATTTGTTACAAAACTTGTAAACACATTCAGGGATATAGATTTAACTAATCTATTATGAAAAAAATTTTTCAGTAAACATGTTAGATGATTTTATGGTTTTATGTTATTGTCATTTTTCAGATATGAAATTTGATAGTTAACAAGACTGATTGAAAAATAAAATGAATAGTAAAGACCGTTAGAGTTACATGTTTGATTATTTATGTTGATTTCTTTAAGTGTTTCTATAATTTTTATCATTTTTATATTAAACATGGGAAAAAGACAATCATTACAAGGACAGAAATGAGGTTTCTGGTTTCATATAAACTTTTGATTTTTACATTATTTAGTATCTTCCCTGCATTATTAAAACAGACAATATTACAAATACATTTTTTCTTTTAACTCTAGCTTCCTTGCTTCACACATTTGGTAACAGTCCAGTTTTTAACCTGGGCTCTGGAAAATCAGCTGTGACAAAATCAACCCCTAGTGGGACAAGCACCACAAACAGCAGTGTGAGGACAAGTTCTGCAAACCGTAGCAGCCATTTGTCTGTGACAAGTTCTGGTAGTGCCCACTCCAAATCCAAGCACAAGACAAAGCACTCCCATTCTCAGTGTCCAACAATTATGACTTCATCAGCAAACTGGGACCCTACAGGTATTCTGGCTGCTCAGGTGTCACGTGTTTCCTCTACTACCACCACCACAACCACCACCACCACCACCACTAGCACAAACATCTCTTCGACCTCGTTATCATTCTTACAAGGACGAAAGGCAGCAACATCAACCACTACCACCACAAAATCAACACCTGTTTTGCACACTCAGGCACAGGCAGGACAAAGGAATAACATAGAAACAGTGAGTAGTTGACATTTTTTTCTTTATAAACTTTTTTTGTTGTCATATTAATTATTATTCAAATAATTACTCTCAGTTTTTCAATTAAATTGTTCTAAAGGGATGTTAAAGCCAGTGTAGAAAATGGCTTCTTTTGTGTGTGTGATTACATTCATTCCTTATACTTGATGATAATCATTTGACAATGATCTTTATTTGTTTAAATACCAAGAGACACTGAGAGTTAAAATGAAAAGTTACAGCAGGGACATACCTAAGTTAAGCTTAAAATAACCAATACAAATAAAAAATATTCACTATCATGTTTTCATGAATAAAGATTTTCATTTTTTTTCTTATTAATCTCAGAAGAGTGCAACTTAGAATGCAATAAATACACACCATGAAATAATAATTAAAAAAAAAAACATTAACAACTTAATATATTTTCCAACACAAGCAAAGTCTTTAAGCAAAACAAGAGAAAGTATCAAAAATATGAATTGGGTTTTGAGCAAAGTGCATAAGATCATTTAAAATTCAAATATTTAAATATATTCCAATAAAGTCTTAATAGAAAATAAGTTACTTTAGCAAAGTAAAATGATGGCAAAATTTCAAATTGTGAACAATGCACATGACTTCTATTGTCATTACAGAACTTTGTGTTCTTTGGTAGATTAATTTTGTTAAAGGAATGTTTAGCAAAAGTGTATGCAGTAAATGTAGAAAAATCAAGTCTTAAAATATAATCAGTAAAACTGTCTTGACAGATTATCTTGAAAAATTGATTGATGAACAGAAGTAGATAAGTGATTATTAGGCTGATGACCTATTTAAGAATTTTTCATGCAGACCAATTGTGACTAAATTATTTGGTGCCACTTTTTAATCAGGATTGATAAAAATTTAACTGACACAACTGACATGACTTGTCTAATCACAGTAAGACTATGAAAGTTCTTTCTTTCATAGTTAAAAAGTTACTTTATGCATCAAAATTGACTAACACTAATATAAAATTGTTTTATATTAATGCTATACAATTGACTTTGCCTTTTCTAAAAAAGGCAGTGTTCATTCTTTAAAAAGTACAATTTCTTAGCACCATAACTCTTACAATTTCTCTTGATTCCAGAAGAATTATTGTTTTTCAATATGGCTGTTTACTTTTTAGGTAGATTTATCCTTCCTTTAATACCAAAGTCAATTCAAACAATGGGAAACTAAAAATATAGTCAATCCAAATTGAACTATTATGAAAAAGAACTTTGCGCAAGTGTTGATTCATGTATTTTCCTTCCAAAATTCAAACATTTTTTAACAACTGATGCATTTTGTTTTTGCTCCAGGATTTATGTATATTCTTTTAAAATATTCCGAAAGTGAAAATGAAGACAGTTTATAAAACATTGTTCTGATTAAACAGGTTTTTATTGCTATTTTAATCCAATATGACATTTTTTATTTTCTGACAGGCTTCTAAAGATTTGTAGTTTTAATTTGAAAAATTTAAACTGACTTTTTTATTTTATTTTTTGTAATTAATACTATTAAGAGGTTTCAAGATAAATGCAGGTGAAAGAAATTACTTTCCTTTGCAGATTGTAAATGACATAATTATTTTTAATAAAGTAAAAAAAAAAAAAAAAAAAATAATTTGCCAGTGTAGCTTTGGTGGAATGTAGAGTAATCCTTGCAGTGAGATATTTAAAAAGAAAACTTTTGTGATTAGTTCAGAAGTTAGTACAATTTAATTGGTCTCTCTGCTTATGATTAAAAAGTAATATTTGGTAGCCACCTCCCTCCCCAATTTGTTTAAATTGATTTTTCCTTTAGACAAAATCGAGAGATTTGAATAAACAGTAATCCAAAGGTGCAATGTCTGGTGAATATAGTTGTTGAGTGAAAACTTCTCATCCAAATGATTTTTGTCTGGTCAGTAAAAAAATATCTGGTTTAGTTTTCCTAATTGACTATTTTATATCTTCCTTATTAACTAAATTTGAATATTTTTTACTAAGTACTGTTTTTAGCTGGTCTCATTGAGAGCAGTTCTTGTTTAAAACGACCATTTGGTTCTCCTAATGAAGCTCATGATAGAGGGCCTCATTCAAATTCTACCAATTATCACCTTTGGATGAAGAATAGCTTTTGGTATGGTTAGTGAGCATTCATTTTTCTTATTTCATTGTTGCAAAGTATCCATTTTTTATTAAATGTCACAATTTATTTAAAAAAAACCCAAGGAAAAACAACATTTTTATTACATTTAAGTAGCAAGTTACACAATAATATAGCCAAGTATGTTTTATTTATTTTTCTTAATGTGTTTAGAAGTCACCCATCAAAGCAACTAACATAACCAGATAATCAAAGTTTGATTTGAATATTTTCAGTATCTGCTGCATTGTATAATGTTGATTAATCTCAAGCAATGTCTTCATTTGATCACTGTCATTTACAATTTGTGCAGATAAACTACACAAATTGCTCTTTATTTTGGTCACATTTTATACCTTTCTTAAAATTAAAAATCAAAGTAATATTTGAAAATGTCACTTTTAATGTTAATATGGGCATACATCAAAGAATGTCTTTTTTATGTTATTCTTTTTCTTTTTTTATAACAATGATTCTTTCAGTTTTAATTCAGCTGTGCATCATTAGGATTTTTACCTAATGATTTATTTTCAGCATAAATTACTTTCATCAGCTTTCATTAGAAAAGTTATTCAACAGAGAATATGTTCTGTCATTCAAAACCTAACATTAGAAGTATCAAAAAGCAGAGAGTTGAGATAGTATCAGCATTTTTCATATTGTGGAAGAATTCTTCCATCTCTTATTTGAACTGTTGTTTTTTAGATGATTGAAAGAAAAAAGTGGGAATTATCAAGAATTCACACTTTTTTTTTCTTGGACATACCACTTCCACAGAATAATGTAACTTGGTGTTTGTTTTGTGTTAATAGTTAATGACAACACTGGAACCCAGAAAAAAAGAGCAATCAGAAAATGAATCCCATTTTCATCTGAATAATATGAAAGAAATATTTCATAATGTGAAAGATGGTGATGCATTTTTTGCTTTTACATTAAACCATTTGAGTGCAGATTTGTTTCCAAAACTGCTTGTTCTACAACTTGTAAATGTCTTGCCATTTATTATTCCATGGCTTAATCTTTTTCCTTTTTTTTTTTTTTTTAAATTTGTTTGCACATTTCTCTGACTGCAAAAATCTCTACATAAATATGCAATGGATATATTTATATATGCTGCTTGTATTCAAGCTGCTTACTAAATATATTTAACTGACAATATTGTACTCCACTTTTTTGAAGGAGGGGTGTTCTGAAACAGAGAATTGTTTTTATTACCATATATACATACTATGTTGCATTTAGAAAGAATACTTATATAATTAGATAATGAGTAAATGTAAGAATTTTTCCTGTGGCATTTTCTCTGTTTTATGGAATAAAACTTTTGATATATTTTTTTTTTTCTGTGTCACTTTAGATTTTATTGCTTAATGCTGGAAATTAATGAATTGTTTTGATTTATTCAAATGACTGAAGCACAAATTTATTTTATGGTTGTAATTTTTAGAATTTTATCCTTGTAGCAGTTTGAAAAATATAAATTTGTATAACCTTGGGTAAGAAAAATGCAAGGATTAAATGCTTAGTATATTGTTATGTACTAAGTTTAAATTAGTCTGGTACCATTATGGGCCACCCAGTAAAGATCAAACTCACTATTCAGTTAGTAATGGTCAACCCATTATTCTATACTAAGTCAGTTAAGCTTAGTTATGGCTCAGGTATTTTGTCAATCTACTTTAAAATCTAGTTACTTCTGAAATTTACTTCTTGAATGTTTTTATGATAGAATATTATATTTATAAAATAAATATCACTTATTACTAATTTTAAATGTTATAAATGACTTAAATGGCATTGTCTATTTCTTTATGATTGTAGTTGCAAAAGTATTTACTAAAATTCATATGAAGAGTGTTTGATTATACTGTCAGATTTTATTATGTAAGTCAACGTTTTCACAATAAATTTAGTATTAAACAACCAATGTTGGCAAGAATACATTTTGTTTATATGAATATTACATCAATTGAGTTTCATATTATAATATCTGACTTATTGAAAATATTGATAACACCTAGATGTTTGGTTTTATTATGCAAACTAAATACAGCATTAAGTTTTTTATAAATAAATTCAAAAGATATCAGTCATAGAAACATTTTTGATTAACACATGTCATATACCTGAATAAGTATTTTGCATGTCAATATACTCTCTATTTCCTGGAGGTCTTGAATATTATTTTCTATTCTCTTATGTATTTCCTTAGAGATGAACCATAAGTTTTCTGTTCAGATTACAATCTGTAGAGGCTGGGCACCATTCCATTAATTTGGTGTTTTTCAAGCTTTATTTAGTTTTTGCAAAGTGGGTAATATTCACCTTTGCAGACTGTGAAGAAACATTGTCTTGCAGAAATATAGTCTTTTTTATTGTGACCTGTACTATTCAAAAATGTCTTGTCATCTAAGAAATTAGAATAATTTTCTGCATTTATCTTTATACTCTCATCAACTTTGAAGATACCTGTTAGGGGGTGTTACTTACTTCCTGCTATAAATACAATGGAGTTACATCCCTTGTTCACTAGTAGGAACACAGCACATCTGAATCCAACATGCATGTGGAACTCTTGGTCTAAATCCAAGCAATCCTTGCTGTTCTTAGGCAGTAAATGAATAAAAGTTATTGTGTGTTAAAATACATTTGTCTCTTATTTTCATTTGTTTTTGTTCATCCCAACAACATGGGATATAACAATTTTTTGGCAACAAGGACTCAAACTTCAAAATTAACATGGCAGTTTCAATTGAGATTTCACAACAACAGTTATTGACAGCAATGACTGTACAGTTCCAGAATTAACTCAAAATTTTCCAAGGGGGGACAAACCAAAATACCAATTCAGCGGA